ATGTATTCACTGCTCTCAGCCTGCACTTGCCTGTAAGGATTATGGCATATTTAAATATATTTTTTATTTTTTTTAATTTTTAAAAAATTGTGGGTTTTTGTGGTTTTTTTTTTAAACTTTTATTTTGGAGGCTCCGGTTGCATTTTCCTTGCAATCAGGTGGTAATCGGGACCTGAGCCTTTTTATAAGCAGAGCATCGCTCTGCGCCCTTTAAAGAATTGCAAACAAAAACAAAGCAAAAAAAAAATCAACTTTAACCATTTCACCGCATCATTTTGATCTTTTGTTGCTTTTTTTTTTCTCCTCTCCAGATGTTTACATTTCCTGCTGCTGTGCTTTCAGGTACAGGTACGTGTCTTTTCTGTCCTCTTTCGCTTTTGGTTGTAAAATAGAAACAAAGGCGGCGTGCTGACCTCGGAGTGCCAGGCAGTTTTGGCTAGGGCTTTCACTTTTTTCCGTCTAGTTTTTATAGCCGTATTAAACGGATCCCCGCACCAGATGCCGGAGTGTCACTTGCGCAGGGAAGGGGCTGCCCCTCTCGCCGAGCTCCTCTCCCGCGGGCGCGGGCGCGGGCCGGGGCGCAGCCGGGTGCGCCGGTAGCCGGCCGTAGCGGGATCCTCTGGAGTGCATTAGCCTGGCTAATGATGTGAGAGGGAGTGTAGGACTCTCCTCCTTGCACAATGTTGATTGATGCACTTGCCTTGGAAGAGTAGGCGCTCTCCTGGTCGCCCTCCTTTTTTTGGGTTTGTTGGTTTTTTGTTTTTTTTTTTTCTTTTCCCCTCCTAAGGAACTTACTCCCAAAAACTGATACTTTGAAAAACACGAGTTTCCCTAGCCAGGAGAAGGAGACTGCGTGCTCCCTCCCCATTATTCAGTAGAGAGCCGTCCAAGTCAGATCCTGCCTTTGATCCTGCCTCGGCAGGAATGGAGCGGTTGGAGGAACACCCTGAGTGGCGAGGCTCTGCAGCCCGGGTGCCTGCGGCACGGGGATGGTGGCTGGGGGTGCCGGGACACCCGCTACCCCCCAACTGCCCCGGGACCACGCACCTCCCTGGGATGGGGCTTCTGGCTGGGCATCCCGGAGCAGACCCACCTGTGGGGCTGGGCAGAGCAGGTGCCGCTGCCCCGGTGGGTCCTGACCCCCATCCCGCTGGGGCTGGGGGACGCTTGTGCCACCCCCTTGGCCCCGCGCTGGGCTTTGGCCCGGATTGCACCTGCTCACCCTCTCGCGGGTACCCGACGGCAGCGAGGGATGGACCTGGAGAAGCACAGCCCCGCAGCCTGGGTGGGGGCTCCATCCCTCTGGCCAAGCTAAAACCCAAACCAGCCCCAGCCCCTACTCCCCTACCCCTGAAAAAAAATCCCCGGTCACATTTTTTTTTCATTCCCCTCTGAAAACTGCAGCTCGAACCTAACACCAGCAGAGCCTCCCTTCGGCGGAGCAGCCTCCTCATCAGGAGAGGATCCACAGCTGTAAATTACCCTGCGGTTGGAAGGCGTTTGCTGTATTTCTCCGGTGCGTTTTGGTTTTTTTTCAAGCCCGAGGAATAACAGGCTGCGTAGGGCTCGCAGCAACGGCACCCTTTGCAGCAGGGAGACATTTTTTTGCGCTTGTGCGGTAACTGAAGTTAATCAGCCCTCCAGCCCCCTCCCTCTCCCCCTCCCTTTGGTGCTTTTAGTGAATCAGAAAAAGTTTGGCTGGCTGCCTGGAAAGCACTTGCTAAAATCTGATCTCTTACTTCAGCAGCCTTAAAACTTGGGAAGTTATTGGCATTTATACAGTTGGAGCTTGCAGGCTTCCAAAGCAATAAAATAATAATAATAAAAAAAAAGCTCTGTGCTCTGGTGCTATTAGAACCATACTTGCTTCATTTCGTGCTGATTTTGCAGCGTTTTGCGGGATTTGAGGCGGGATTCGCTGCGGACGGGCACTGCGGAGGTGTCCTGGGCCACGGCTGGAGGGGCAGCAGATCGTGCTGGGTGTTACACTGAGAGGCGAGCTCTTTCGGCGATTAGCGTTGGGAGCCAAAACATTAGATTAGTCATACTCAAGGGCCTTCGAGTGAGTGTTTACAGTATTAATGGTAGATGAAAAGATGTGAATGCTGTAAGTTTTTATTGCCCATTTTGTTACACTTTCTTTCTGGATTTATTCACGGGATTACATGTTTTGAGCCTGAATGGGAGCGAGGGATTATAGGATTTCTTTTATAATGATCAGTTTGGGTAGGAGTTAGCCTTTGGTGAACTGGAGTAAATTAATGCATCACTTAGGTTTAATATTTATTTAGGCTAAAGGAAGTTGTTTAGTTTTGCTTAAAGGGCTCTGTGTTGTATTGGGGAGATTTAAGACTGCCTGAAATGGATTATATTCTGAGGCCACCATTCACCCTCCCATGCAAGTCATGATCAGCAGGTCGTCCCACGTGTTAGTCTTTGAGTTATGCTCCTCTGATGCTGTTACCCTGTAGCTCTGAATGCAAAGGTAAAAATCCCTCCAGCATGTGTTGGGGCTGGAGGTATTCTGGAGTAAAATGGTCCAGAATCTCACGTATTTTGTACCTTCTGTATCTATGTTACTCGGGTACAAAGACTGTGGCGTGTTGGTGTGCATGCTGCCTGCAGTTAGGTGGTATGGTAGCTCAGCTGCTGGCTAAAAGCTTTCTTGCAGACGCTGTGCCCACCTCTGCAGCCACCCGTAGGTGACCCCGTGGGGTGTGGTGTCACCTGTGGGTGGGTTGTGGCAGCCCTGGAGAAGCATCGCGTGGCCTGGACCGTGGGGAGGTTGTCGGGATGGGAGTTTTTAGGAGCAGGATTTAGACTCCTGGACGAGTCAGACTCCTCCAGGGCTTTGCTGTTGGGTGACATTTCCACCAAGGGACACCCGGGAATAGCACGTGGCAGGTTAGAGGGGGAGCGCTGCTGGAGCACAGGTGATGGGTGCTGGTGGCTGCATGCTGGCACGCCATGAGGCAGCTCTGTACCTTCCAGAGCTGTGAGGAGGACATCTCGTTCTGTGGTCCCTTCTCCTGTGGCAGCAGTGTCCCTGTCTTGTTTTGTTCTCTTGCATCTTGGGATGTTCCTTTGCTGCTCAGGGTTGTTTCAGTCGCCAAGGCAGCAGGGACACTGGATATCCTTGGGGACACTGGAGAGATTAATTTATTTATGCAGGTTGTTCTTACGGATGCCCTTTCTCTGCTGGTTACTAAACTCTCCCTCTATCACTTATCTTGAGCATCCTTCAGTTTAATTCTCCTGCTGCTTTCTCATACTTCCAGGAGCAATTTGTCCTCTATATGCTTTTTCCCTCTGTATGTCCCGGGGTGTTTTTGGGTTTAGCTTTGGACTCAGTCCCTGCTCTTCATGCAGGTGAGAAATCCCAGGAGCACCGTGTGTGGATGGAGGGGATCTCCTATGCTGTGCTGGCTCTGGCAGCCCTGGTGGCCCTTAGGACATAAGGGTTGGGGACATGGGACCTCAGGAGCTCAGAGGTTCTCCTTTTCCAGGTCAAGTGGGGGCTGGAGGCAGCTTTGGTGTAGATTGAGTAGGATGTGAGGTTTTGGGTGCTGCCCTGGTTTGCAAGAGCTTCCATCTCTTCTGCCTCTGGGCCGCCTCCAGCACATAGTCAGCTGGAGTTTGGAGTGAAGCCGGCATGGGCTGCCCCGGCCATGCTGCAGAGCAGAGGCTGATGCTGCTTCAGCCTCTTCCCTGCCCTGATAAACCTCAGCGTGTTCTTCTACATGAAGTTCATCTGTCTTAGATTATGAAGAGGTCTCTGATAGGGCCAAATCCTTTGCTTTTATGGCTCTTGTAGGTTAAGATCCAGCTTTGGAATCTGATCCAGAAGCAAACAGGAGGTCAGAGAAGCACACGCAAGGCAGCACCGGGCTATTTTCACATCTGCTGGTGTTGTGTAAGAGGAAGGCTGCTGTGCACCATGCCAATAGCAACTTATGTTTCTCCTAAGCTCCTGTGCAGCGACAGACCGTTATTGTTTGGGGCTCTGTAAAGTGAGACACAGAGAAGTGTTGCTTCCACACGTTCAGTGAGCCAGATCCTGCGGTCTGGCGAAGCTGTGCGCAGCACATGTCAGCGGCGTGAGCCTGCTGAGCGGCTCCCTCCCCTCTCCCTGTCTGCTCTTCCGCAGCTGTCCTCCCCAGGGGTGGTTGGATGCGAGTGCCACCAAATGGCATCGGGAACCCTGTTGTGGACAAGACAGAATGTGGTCCTTGTCACAGTCCAGCTTGCCTGGCCACGGGGCTTCTGGCCGCCCCTTCTGCAGGCATGAAGTCATGCTGGAGTCACGGGTCCCTGCTCGTCCTGCCCTCACCCTCCTGGCAGCAGCGCTGGTGGCCGGCTCCGAAGGCAGGGTGCTGGGCTGCACGGCCCCAGTGGGGTTATCCTCATGCCTACCCTCCCTGTGGATGGGCGCCCACCTGTCCACCTCTCCTTGGGGTGACACGAGCATCTGTCTTGAGATGGCAGCCAAGGGTGTGTGTGCTGCCAGGGGGCGGCTGCTCTGGGACTTGGGCATCACTGCATCGCTCCTGAAGCCCACGCTGTGCGATAGGGTGGGCGCTGATTGGATGCAGCGTACAGCTCCTTGCAGCAAAGCCCTGCATGCCGGGACTCGGCGGGGGCCCGGCGCCCTGCGGCCCCCAGGCTGGCAGGTGCTGTGCTTGCCATCTCTGCTCAGCCTGTCCCCCACTGAGTCCTTAGCACAGCACCCCCGTGCCGGCATCCGCCTTCTGCTCCACGCGGGTGTCTGAACCCCCTCAGATGAAGGTCGCGCTCCTCCTTCAGAACATCTGAAGTGAGTTACACTTCCCAGCCCTGTCTTGCTGTGGTTCCTGCCTCGCTGCAACGCCCGCCTGAGCTGGCCCAACCTGCGCTCGTGTGGGGCTGCTACCACACAGGCTGTAGTAGTGATGCTGTGAAGGACAAAATATGGCAAAAGTGGTCTGGGAAAGGCTGGGGAGTTTTCTGTTGATTTTTCTAATCACAGCTAATTTAATAATTAGGCAGTGAAAAGACAAGAGAAACTGCATAAGCAAAGCTTGATTTAATTAGAGGAGGAGGAGTTTGGTGATGTTGATGAAGTGCATGACGCTATCACGGGCTGGAGCTGATGAGATGGTCTACGGCTCTGGGTCTGTGTTGCTGCTGCTGGACTCATGCAGCAGATGCAGTGCTTGCTGGTGTGGCTCTGCTAGTCTGCAACCCACAGAGACAGGGTTTGCTTGCACATTAAATCATTTGTTCCTGTTTAAAACCCCCTTGCTCTCCAGGAAACGACTGTGCTGCTTGGCAGAAGGGATTTTTATTCCTCCTGCTGACAAATTGCACCCCAGTCTACAAATTGTTGTGTCCTGAAGCTGCCCCTTGTGCCCTGCTTCTGCCTCCTGGTCTTTGGAGAGCTCAGGCTCATGGAGGAAGAGGAGACTCATTGGAGCAGTTGCCATGGGCTGGAGGGGGGAAGCCTATGGGTTCTCCTATGGGAGAATCGAGGCTGAGATTAGCATGGTGTGAGTGCATATGTGGGTCTTGCTCCTACACAGATGGGGGTACGCAGCCTGTGCCCCCCACAGTGGCTGCTGGCTGCCTGCACTGGGCGCATGCTTCCTTTGCTTCCCACAGTCCCCAGCCTTTCAATGTGCTGGGACAGGTCCTCTGCCAGAAGACCCCTCAAAGCAGGAAGATTTGCAACGACAAAGTCAGTCAGAAACAAAAGTGAACTCCTTCAGCATTTGGGGGCTTAAGCATTTTTGGGGTGGGTTGTGGCAATGGGCCGCAAAGCAGAGCAGCTGATTGGAGGCTTTGACCTGCACACCTGCATGCATTGCAGTTTGACTTCTCAGAGCTGTAGAGATGTCCAAAATGCTTCTGAGTAACAGAGAAGGACTCACGTGTTGTTGAGGAGAGCGTGTAGAAGGGTATAATAGGTGCAGGGTTCAGATTTCCCCTGTTTGAGATAACTGGCTGCATTGTGTTTGTTTAATTTCTGTTTAGCTTTTCTTATTGCACCTGGCATGTCCAAGACTGGACGGAGGCGAGCAATGCTGGGTTCGGAGCAGTGCTGGGTTTTGCAGGAGGGTGCCTGCTCAAACCCCACTTGTTTTATGCTTGTAGAGCAGCTTGCCCATAGTGTAGAGAGGCAGGAAAGAAAAGAGCGGAACAGGCAAAGAGTGAGACTTCCCAAGCCCTGCCAGTGTATTTGGGACGTGGTGATGCAGCTGGTGGCAGGTCCTTTGGCAAGGGGGAGGCGGGAGTGACTCCTGAGGGCTTCTGGGTGCTCAGGTAGGATGAACAGTGTTGGGGGGACTCAGGTGGCCACTCAGAATATTTGATTTTGCTGATAGCATCAGACTGGTCAGCCGGACGAGTGGATATCTCCCTCCTCTGCAGGAGTCTGAGCTCAAGAGAAAGACTCCCCTGGGGGTGAAAATAATTTTTTTTTGATCTATAATGCTACTTCCCGGATCCTTGGGAGTATTTTTATGGGTCTCTTCCTTTCCT